CATTCACACCGGCAATGATAGAGATATTATATATATATATACACATACACACATTGATAGGAGATTTAAAAAATGCATATAATGATTGTAAATGGTATAACTCACACTGCAGAGTTGATTTCCCAAAACTGGAGAGTTCAGAATCTGGTGTAGCTCTGCATAGAACCCAATCAGCTTCCAGGTTTTATTATCAAACCCTATGTGAACAAGCTGAAGTTAGAAGCTGATTGACCACCATGTACAGCTGCACCAGATTTTGCACTCTCCAATTTTAGTAAATCTACCCTAGTTTTTACATGCACTTATGTATGTTCATTTTAATAGAATTTAGAAAAAAATAAATTCTGTGCATTCCGGGCCTGCTTACATACTCTGAACTCATCTAAATACATGTAAATGCAAGTGCATGCAGGAGAATTTTGTCTTTGAAACATATCATTTGTTTATACTTCTCAGATAATTTCTTTGGCGTTTAAAGACCAAGTTCACCTTTAGAAACATATTACATCCATACCTATCTCATGTGATAGAATCGCTGTGTATAATGATGTGTAATGGAGTAGATGGATCCTGCATGTCACTGGGGAGAGATGTTCGGCTTACCTGTAGATGCAGGGTCACACTGATGCTGGGTGACAACATATCAGTCCCACAGTAGAGGCTCCATGGGTGACATCTGATACAACTTTGACTGATGTAACTCCAGGGCTGGTAGAAGCATGCCAAAAGTTCAGAGAGGCAGCAGCATAGAGGTGCAGGGAAACAGGACACTTGGTCATCTCCAAGGGTGACTGCAAGCAATATTGGGAGGTGGTAACATGATCAGAAGATATGTCTTGTTTTAGGATGTGTACTCTGGTAAAAAGACAAGCCAGGCCAGATAGCCAGAAAACATTCAGGATGCAAACACTGATCACAGAACTCCTACAATGAGATAATGAGTTGGAGGTGGTTATCAGAGTAAGTAGAGACAGGTGTAGTATATACGCCCACTTCCTGCAGTCTACTGCATGCAATGTGCTGAGCTTCCATGAGATGGCAGCATCATAGCGGAAAGGCAAACAGACTGCACTAAGATGAGCAGTCCACAAGATGGCGCATACAAAAATTTAGGTTCAGACTGGGTTGTGACAAAATGATAAAATATACACTATATTGCCAAAAGTATTAGGCCACCCCTCCAAATCATTGGATTCAGGTGTTCCAATCACCTCCATGGCCACAGGTGTATAAAATCAAGCCCCTAGGCATGCAGACTGCTTCTACAAACATTTGTGGAAGAATGGGTCACTCTCAGGAGTTCAGTGAATTCAAGCGTGGTACCATCATAGGTTGCCACCTGTGCAATAAGTCCATCTGTAAAATGTCCTTGCCGCTAAATATTCCACGGTCAACTGTAAGTGTTATTATAACAAAGTGGAAGCAAATGGGAACAACAGCAAAGTGGTAGGCCACGTAAAATGACAGAGCGGGATCACCGCATGCTGAAGCGCACAGTACACAGAAGTTGCCAATTGTCTGCAGAGTCAATAGCTAAAGACCTCCAAACTTCATGTGGCCTTCGGATTAGCACAGCAACAGTGTGTAGAGAGCTTCATGGAATGGGTTTCCATGGCTGAGCAGCTGAATGCAAGCCTTACATCACCAAGTGCAATGCAAAGCATAGGATACATTGGTGTAAAGCATGCTGCCACTGGACTCTAGAGCAGTGAGATGATGTGTTCTATGGAGTGGCAAGTCACACTTCTCTGTCTGGCAATCCAATGGATGCATCTGGGTTTGGCATTTGCCAGGAGATTTGTACTTGCCTGACTGCATTGTGCTAAGTGTAAAGTTTGGTGGAGGTGTGGGGTTGCTTTTCAGGGGTTGGACTTGGCCCCTTAGTTCCAGTGAAGGGAACTCTTAAGGCATCAGCATGCCAAGACATTTTGGACAATTTCATGCTCCCAACTTTGTGGGAACAGTTTAGGGATGGCCCTTTCCTGTTCCAACTTAACTACGCACCAGTACACAAAGCAAGGTCCAGGAAGACATGGATGAGCGAGTTTGGGGTGGAGGAACTTGACTGGCCTGTGTCCTGACCTCAACCCGATAGAACACCTTTGGGATGAATTAGAGCGGAGACTGCGAGCCTGGTCTTCTCATCCAACATCAGTGCTTGACTTTACAAATGTGTTTCTGGAGGAATGGTAAAAAATTCCCATAGACACCCTCCTAAAGCTTGTGGACAGCCTTCCCAGAAGAGTTGAAGCTGTTATAGCTGCAAAGGGCGGGGCCCAACTCAATATTGAACCCTACAGACTAAGACTGGGATGCCATTAAAGTGTGTGTAAAGGCAGGCGTCCCAATACTTTTGGCAATATGGTGTATGTTGCACTCACAAGCATTAGTGTAAATAGCTCTTTCGATGGCCCTCTAATTGAAGAGGTGCCAAGCAAATAAACCCCTATGGTCAGTGTGCAGAGGGGAAGTCACTTGCACAGATCTCAGATATTGCTGTATGTAGTGCAGGCTACTCCAGTGATTTACTCCAAAAGACATGCTGGTAGGTTAATTGGCTCCTGTCTAAATTGGCCCTAGTATGTGTATGTATGAATGTGAGTTAGGGACTTTAGATTGTATACCCCTTGAGGGTTAGGGACTGATGTGAATGTACAATATATATGTAAAGTGCTGCATAAATTGACGGCACTATATAAGTACCTGAAAATTTACAGCAGCCCCAGTGGCCCTCCAGTTATCAGATAAGCTTACTTACATAAAGCCAAGCTGGATGTATGCAAAAAAAATAATGAAAGCAATAAATGATTGCATACTCAGAGATTAACCAAATGGATTCCATGTTTGTTTGATCCACAGACTCACTCAATTTTTTTATATTTGTTGGAAGCTTAAATGTGTCTGGTGTTTGGTTACCCTCTAGTAACACTGATCTTGTAGCACCCTTCTCTCTAGTTAGGCTATTGGGCTAAATTTAGTAGTGCAGTAACCTATTATTTTTTGTCTGGTCAGGGCTTAAAAATACAAACGCAGGTGCAGTTTACATTCTCCACTGCAAGTGGCGTGCCATAATGGCAATGCAGCTGGAGGAGGAAGTCGAGAAACTGTGCTTCTCAATGGTTTCCTCAGTCCCCCTGGAATAGTGATATCTGGTTTGCTACACTGGATCCAGGTGACCCTGGTGGCCATCTTTTGTCATGCAGAGTCTTTTTTAAGTCCCTGCCCCTGGAATTTGGCACACATTTTGCAAGTGGCTAGTGTAGGGACAGGATACCTGTTTGTCAGGGACAGCACTAGTGAGTGGAAGAGGTTCCAGAGGGGTAGTTAAAGAGTAGGGTCTAGGCCTGCATCTTCAGGAAACTGCCCTTTGGGTTGGACTGGCCAGGCCGCACTCCACTCTCCTTGTCAGGCGCTGCCCACAGCTCAGGCCTACACACCACTGATTCTCTACTTTCATCTGTTGTTAGTGTCCCTGTTGGATGAGCCTCCTGCTGGGCTTGTTGTACTGTTTTACAAGTTCTGCAATATATAATTTTTGGCAATTCGGGACTTTTGATTGCTTTCTCTTACCTGCTTTCGGGAGAATTTTGCAGAATATAGGGTGGGAGTCAAGTGTCTAACACAAATATTTAACATGCCTTGGACAAACCTTGGAAGGAGGCATTTAGAAGGTGGCTGGAGAGGTGATAAATATTTTGGAGGCATTTCCATAGGGTTCTTCCTTTGCTTGAAGGGATATAGTTTTCCTGGGGGTTGCTGCCCCTGGGAGGCAGCTAGAGTGGCAGTCTGGGCCTTAGCAGGAGCTGGTCTGAGGGCCTGGAGAAGTCAGGCGGTACAAGCATACTCCTTATGACTAAGTGCGTTGGCACGAAACGCATCAAGGAGGAGCTGTACGCCGTGATGTCACACTGCTGGAGCCTCGAGCAGGTCCAGCGGCCATCTTGGATTTCCCTTATGGTCAGTGATTTTGTGATCTTATCTTTGTAATACCCAACGGATGGAATAACTTTGATTTTAAGCAATATTACACTATGGGCATTATTTTCTTGGGTTCTTTATGAGCTTACCAACCCACAGAGCTTAATACGGAGGACGGCAGAGGTACTGCAGATGACCCAGCGAAGGGGGATTCTAGACCAAGCTGTATGCATCCTTAAAGGGACCTCCAGCTGACCACAGTGTATATCTGTACATGCGTATTATTATTATTACGCATCTGGTAAGTGCGTAATTTTACTACTTACCAGGCACATCACCAAATTTTTGAGTATAGCATGTGGATCACCGAATTTGAGATCAAACCTACCCAGATCTCCACTTTGTCACTTTATGGACATTGAATTGTTGTTTCTGTGCAACTGATAGCTGTTTACTACATTTGTCACTTTATCATCACTAACAGTCACTTTATTGTGACACCATTTATTGAAATCATATCCACCCAGATCTCCACTTTGTCACTTTATGGACATTGAATTGTCATATCTGTACAATTGTTAGCTGCTTAACATATATTTGTCACTTTATCAGCACTAACAGTCACTTTATTGTGACACCACTTATTGAGATCATATCCACCCAGATCTCCACTTTGTCACTTTATGGACATTGAATTGTCAGATCTGTACAATTGTTAGCTGCTTAACATATTTGTCACTTTATCAGCACTAGCAGTCACTTTATTCTCATTCATTGCTCATCGAACTATTGTCACTTTATTTGGGACATTGGTATATTTTTTTACTTTGATGACTGCATTAGCACTTTATTATATCAGCACCATATCTTGTATTTTTTCACGTTTATTATTCCACAAGTTGTTTTAATCTTTTACAGCGCTGCACCCAATATATATGTTGTAACGGAAGCGTAGGCAGGACAGAGCACACGGAGAAGATGGGGAACACACAAAACTTTATTGAAGCAACAAATTGACAGACACTCAATAGGGAAATGGCAGGGGGAGGGTGATGTGTGCGCAAACCAGGGACAATTCCAGGCACAGGGGGGGTCTTCAGGCAATCTCCCCCCTTTAGGCTTGGGGCCTCAGCCGGGCTCCCTCCGTGACTGGACAGCGGATTGGAGACTCGGGCAACAGGCGACAATCTACCCCTGGGCAGGGGCTCGGGCAACAGACGGCAACCTACCACTGGGCAGGGGCCTCGGGCAACAGAAGGCAATCTACCCCTCAACAGGGGCTCGGGCAACAGACGGCAACCTACCACTGGGCAGGGGCCTCGGGCAACAGACGGCAACCTACCACTGGGCAGGGGCCTCGGGCAACAGAAGGCAATCTACCCCTCAACAGGGGCTCGGGCAACAGACGGCAACCTACCACTGGGCAGGGGCCTCGGGCAACAGACAGCAACCTACCACTGGGCAGGGGCCTCGGGCAACAGACGGCAACCTACCACTGGGCAGGGGCCTCGGGCAACAGGCGGCAATCTACCCCTGGGCAGGGGCTCAGGCAACAGACGGCAATCTACCCCTCAACAGGGGCTCGGGCAACAGACAGCAACCTACCACTGGGCAGGGGCCTCGGGCAACAGACAGCAACCTACCACTGGACAGGGGCTCGGGCAACAGATGGCAATCTACCCCTCAACAGGGGCTCGGGCAACAGACAGCAACCTACCACTGGGCAGGGGCCTCGGGCAACAGACAGCAACCTACCACTGGGCAGGGGCCTCGGGGACTCAACGGGACTCTAGCTGTGGAGGCTGGCCACAGCACAGCTCCCACCCAGCTTTCTAGGGTCATTGGGTTCACGGGGGACTCAACAGGTAGCGATGGGCTCAAGCACTCAGGGGCACCACAGGTAGCTATACTCTGGGCATGCCATCAGGACACGGGTGGTCAGTGCACACACAGCGGGGCGGTTCGAAACACGGGTGGTCGGTGCACACATCGGGGACAGTTCAGGACACGGGTGGTCAGTGCACACAGCAGGAACAGTTCAGGACACGGGTGGTCAGTGCACGCAACAGGAACAGTTCAGGACACAGGTGGTCAGTGCACACAGCGGGGACAGTTCAGGACACGGGTGGTCGGTGCGCACAACAGGAACAGTTCAGGACACGGGTGGTCAGTGCGCACAACAGGAACAGTTCAGGACACGGGTGGTCAGTGCACGCAACAGGAACAGTTCAGGACACAGGTGGTCAGTGCACCCAGCGGGGACAATTCAGGACACGGGTGGTCAGTGCGCACAACAGGAACAGTTCAGGACACAGGTGGTCAGTGCGCACAACAGGAACAGTTCAGGACACAGGTGGTCAGTGCGCACAACAGGAACAGTTCAGGGCACTCACGGTAAGCAGCTTGCAGACCCTCAGCGGCAGGCGGCTCCAGACAGGGATGACCAGCGGTCAGCGTTCCAGGGACAACAGCGATCAGCAGACAGTAGCAGCTCCCAGGGCACTCAGCAGAAGACAGCCTCCAGGGACACGCAGCCACGGATAGTATGCAGGCCCCCTCAGCAACAACTCCCAGGGCACTCAGCAGCAGACAGGGTGCAAGGGTGCTCAGTAGACAGGCTTACAGACTGGCAGGGTCTCAGTTGTGGGGTCTGACCTTTGAGAAGAAGGCTCATGCAGAGCTGTGGAGACTCCCAACCCCGAGGTATTGCAGAGGGCTACAGTCCTGACCTTTTGGGGGTCTGCAGAGCGCGCAGGGGGGATGGCTGGGGAGACTCGGTCCCCCTCACCCGAGCCTCCCAGCATCTTTCTGGGAGCAGGATGATTCTACTCACATGGCCAGGAACAAAAGGGAAGGCTGCTTCCTGTGTGGGTCTCTTGAAGATCATGTGGGACGCGGCTAGGTTGCCTCGGCAACGGCTGGCCCAGCCCTGTCCATGGAAGCCCCACAGACCTTCTAATGTATAAGGGGGAAGGGAGGGGTGGAGGAATATGGCGGGGGATGGGAGAGGCACTGGCAGTCCGTGACAACTCCTCCCCCTTCCATTTTACAAGTGCCGGCAAGGGGACCTCAACAGGTCTCCTTGGAGGCACTTGTGGGGTGCCATCGCTGTCCATCATCTTCTTCCACGCTCTGGTCCTCGACTGCTGCCACCAGTGTAACGGAAGCGTAGGCAGGACAGAGCACACGGAGAAGATGGGGAACACACAAAACTTTATTGAAACAACAAATTGACAGACACTCAATAGGGAAATGGCAGGGAGGGTGATGTGTGCGCAAACCAGGGACAATTCCAGGCACAGGGGGGGTCTTCAGGCAATCTCCCCCCTTTAGGCTTGGGGCCTCAGCCGGGCTCCCTCCGTGACTGGACAGCGGATTGGAGACTCGGGCAACAGGCGACAATCTACCCCTGGGCAGGGGCTCGGGCAACAGACGGCAACCTACCACTGGGCAGGGGCCTCGGGCAACAGAAGGCAATCTACCCCTCAACAGGGGCTCGGGCAACAGACGGCAACCTACCACTGGGCAGGGGCCTTGGGCAACAGACAGCAACCTACCACTGGGCAGGGGCCTCGGGCAACAGAAGGCAATCTACCCCTCAACAGGGGCTCGGGCAACAGACGGCAACCTACCACTGGGCAGGGGCCTCGGGCAACAGACAGCAACCTACCACTGGGCAGGGGCCTCGGGCAACAGACGGCAACCTACCACTGGGCAGGGGCCTCGGGCAACAGGCGGCAATCTACCCCTGGGCAGGGGCTCAGGCAACAGACAGCAACCTACCACTGGGCAGGGGCCTCGGGCAACAGACAGCAACTACCACTGGGCAGGGGCCTCGGGCAACAGCCAGCAACCTACCACTGGGCAGGGGCTCGGGCAACAGACGGCAATCTACCCCTCAACAGGGGCTCGGGCAACAGACAGCAACTACCACTGGGCAGGGGCCTCGGGCAACAGACAGCAACCTACCACTGGACAGGGGCTCGGGCAACAGACGGCAATCTACCCCTCAACAGGGGCTCGGGCAACAGACAGCAACCTACCACTGGGCAGGGGCCTCGGGCAACAGACAGCAACCTACCACTGGGCAGGGGCCTCGGGGACTCAACGGGACTCTAGCTGTGGAGGCTGGCCACAGCACAGCTCCCACCCAGCTTTCTAGGGTCATTGGGTTCACGGGGACTCAACAGGTAGCGATGGCTCAAGCACTCAGGGGCACCACAGGTAGCTATACTCTGGGCATGCCATCAGGACACGGGTGGTCAGTGCACACACAGCGGGGCGGTTCGGAACACGGGTGGTCGGTGCACACATCGGGGACAGTTCAGGACACGGGTGGTCAGTGCACACAGCAGGAACAGTTCAGGACACGGGTGGTCAGTGCACGCAACAGGAACAGTTCAGGACACAGGTGGTCAGTGCACACAGCGGGGACAGTTCAGGACACGGGTGGTCAGTGCGCACAACAGGAACAGTTCAGGACACGGGTGGTCAGTGCGCACAACAGGAACAGTTCAGGACACGGGGTGGTCAGTGCACGCAACAGGAACAGTTCAGGACACAGGTGGTCAGTGCACCCAGCAGGGACAATTCAGGACACGGGGTGGTCAGTGCGCACAACAGGAACAGTTCAGGACACAGGTGGTCAGTGCGCACAACAGGAACAGTTCAGGACACAGGTGGTCAGTGCGCACAACAGGAACAGTTCAGGGCACTCACGGTAAGCAGCTTGCAGACCCTCAGCGGCAGGCGGCTCCAGACAGGTATGACCAGCGGTCAGCGTTCCAGGGACAACCAGCGATCAGCAGACAGTAGCAGCTCCCAGGGCACTCAGCAGAAGACAGCCTCCAGGGACACGCAGCCACGGATAGTATGCAGGCCCCCTCAGCAACAACTCCCAGGGCACTCAGCAGCAGACAGGGTGCAAGGATGCTCAGTAGACAGGCTTACAGACTGGCAGGGTCTCAGTTGTGGGGTCTGACCTTTGAGAAGAAGGCTCATGCAGAGCTGTGGAGACTCCCAACCCCGAGGTATTGCAGAGGGCTACAGTCCTGACCTTTTGGGGGGTCTGCAGAGCGCGCAGGGGGGATGGCTGGGGAGACTCGGTCCCCCTCACCCGAGCCTCCCAGCATCTTTCTGGGAGCAGGATGATTCTACTCACATGGCCAGGAACAAAAGGGAAGGCTGCTTCCTGTGTGGGTCTCTTGAAGATCATGTGGGACGCGGCTAGGTTGCCTCGGCAACGGCTGGCCCAGCCCTGTCCATGGAAGCCCCACAGACCTTCTAATGTATAAGGGGGAAGGGGAGGGGTGGAGGAATATGGCGGGGGATGGGGAGAGGCACTGGCAGTCCGTGACATATGTGTTTTCCTATTTGTTGTTGCTGTCGTTTTGGAGTATACTGAAACCCCTGAATCTATCCCCACATTTCAAGTTAATCAGCAATAATTTCTAGAAAGATATATCCTAGACTAGGGGTCTCCAAAACTTTCCAAACAAGGGGCCAGTTTACTGTCCTTCCGACTTTAGGGGGCCCGGACCGTGACTATCGAAAGTAGAAAATGTTCCTGCATCAGTTAGAGTAAACAATGCTCCATCTTTGGTGTCAGTGAGAGGAATTGTGCCTCATCATTTGTGTCATTGAGAGGAATTGTGCCCCATTATTGGTTTCATTGGGTCCCATTGTTGGTGTCATCAGGAGGAACTGCGTCCCATCATTGTTGTCATTGGTAGGAATTGTGCCCTATGATTGGTGTCATTGGGCCCCCATTGTTGGTGTCATTGGGAGGAACTGTGCCCCATTGTTGGTTTCATTGGGTAGGAATTTTACCCCATCATTAGGCCCCACTGTTGGTATCATTGGGAAGAACTGTGCCCTATCGTTGGCGCCATTGGTTAGGAACTTTGCCCCTGTCATTGGGCTCCATTGTTGGTGTCATTGGGAGGAACTGTACCCATTTTTTGTGTGTCATTAGGAGGAATTGTGCCCCTTCTTTGGTTCCAGTGACTGAAATAGTGTCCCAAGGGCCGGATAAAGGCAAGCAAAGGGCCACATCAGGCCCCAGGGCCGCAGTTTGGAGACCACTGTCCTATACTGAGCCTGTACTGCACATGGAACTGGCAGCCCCTGTACAAGCAAGAGAGACCTGGATATATTCTCAGCAGCCCCCCCGGGGGTGAGAACTAAACTTATAGTTTGAAATGGCCTTTTTCCATCACAGCAACAATTAGTCTTCACATACAGTGGGTATAAAAATTCTACACACCCCCTGTTAAAATGTCAGGTTTCTGTGATGTAAAAAAATGAGACAAAGATAAATCCTTTCAGAACTATTTCCACCTTTATTGTGACCTATAAACTATACAACTCAATTGAAAAACAAACTGAAAAATTTTAGGGGGGAGGTAAACATAAAAAAAATAAAATAATGTGGTTGCATAAGTGTGCACACCCTCTTATAACAGGGGTTTGTAACTGTGTTCAGAATTAAGCAATCACATTCAAAATCATGTTAACCACTTGCCTACAGGGCATTTATACTCCCTTCCTGCCCAGGACAGTTTTCAGCTTTCAGCGCTGTCACACTTTGAATGACAATTGCGTGCGGTCAACACTGTACCCATATGCAATTTTAATAATTTTTTGCGACAGCTACAACTTTCTTTTTGTGGTATTTAATCACCTCAGGGGTTTTTTATTTTTTGCTAAACAAACCAAAAACAACTGAAAATTTTGAGTGATGGGCAATGATAGACCGCACTGATGGGCACTGATAGGTGGCCCTGATGGGCAATATGAGGAGGCACTAGTAGGTGGCACTGATGGGCATTGACAGGCATCACTGATGGGCACTGAAAGGCAGCACTCATATATGGCACTGTTAGGCGGCACTGACGGGCACTGATAGGCAGCACTGACTGGCACTACTGATAGGTGGCAATGACTAGCATTGATAGGTGACACTGAAAGGCAGCTCAGATGGGCACTAATATGTGACATTGATGTGCACTGGTAGGCACTGATATGTGGCATTGATGTGGCACTGATGGGCACTGGCAGGTGGCATTGACGAGCACTGACAGCTGGCATTGATGGGCACTGACAGGTGGCACTGCTGGGCTACACTAATCATCAGGGTACACTGATCATCAGTGCTCTGATGATCAGTGTACATGTCCCCTACGAGGAATGCCAGTTACCGGCTCTCCTCTCGAACTGTCAGCGTGACAGCTCATGAGGAGAGAATTGCCGCTAACCGGCATTTCCCTATTTACATGTGATCAGCTGTGATTGGACACAGCTGACCACATGACCGAGCCAACATCTTTGGCTCTTTCCGTTGATCGGCATGAGCATTTAGAGTGGGAGGACGTCATATGACGTCCTCCCAGAACAAGAGAACCGCCTTGCGCCTGTCATTTCCTTATATGGTGGGTAGGAGGTGGTTAAATAGGAGTCAGTACACACCTGCCATCATTTTAAAGTGCCTCTGATTAACCCCAAATAAAGTTCAGCTGTTGTAGTAGGTGTTTCCTTACATTTTCTTAGTCGCATCCTACAGCAAAAGCCATGGTCTGCAGAGAGCTTCTAAAGCATCAGAGGGATCTCATTGTTAAAAGGTATCAGTCAGGAGAAGGGTACAAAAGAATTTCCAAGACATTAGATATACCATGGAACACAGTGAAGACAGTCATCATTAAGTGGAAAAAATATGGGTGCAACAGTGACATTACCAAGAACTGGATGTCCCTCCAAAATTGATGAAAAGATGAAAAGAAAACTGGTCTGGGAGGCTGCCAAAAGGCCTACAGCAACATTAAAGGAACTGCAGGAATATATAGGAAGTACTGGCTGTGTGGTACATGTTAAAGGCAAAAGAAAATGGTGCGCTGCCAAATATTGAGAATATTAATAGATAAGCTGCTGCAAACACGTGTTATGTGTGTAAACATAAAAAACAGACTAAAACAAATGAAAGTGTTGAGCAGCTAGCATAAATCAATACATGTAAATATACAAACAAAAACGTGACTGATAGTCCCAAAAGATGATGATAAAACATCAAAATAAATACAATTCTTCAAAAAAATCCAAATCAGTGAAAAATCTTCCTGCTGGTGATTGCACCCAAAATCCCAGTGCTGTAAATCTTCAATACATGTGAATCACCACAGTGAACATAGACTTTCAGCTGGAATCTCACCTTCTCGCATGGACCTGTATGTGGACACGGGTCAAAGCATCTCCCCTATTAGTGGGGGTAACACATAACTTGCTCCTCTGTGCACTCTTCCCCTTATGAATCACCACTGGACCTTCACAAATGGCACCCGATTTCAGTACAGCCAACTCTGTGGATAAAGCTCAACAACCACAAAGTAGACCATAGTGCAGTAGGAGGATTTACAGCACTGGGATTTTAGGCGCAATCACCAGCAGGAAGAATTTTTTGAAGAATTGCATTTTATTTTATGTTTTATCATCTTTTTGGACTATCAGTCACGGTTTTGTAAGTATATTTACATGTGTGGTACATGTGACAACAATCTCCCATATTCTTCAAGACAGAAGCTTTTTCTTACAAAGAAAAACATCCAAGCCCAGCTACATTTTGCAAAAACACATCTGAAGTCTCCCAAAAGCATGTGGGGAAATGTGTTATGGTCTGATGAAATCTAGGTTTAACTTTTTGGCTATAATTCCAAAAGATATCTTTGGCACAAAAACAATACTGCACATCACCAAAAGAACACCATACCCACAGTGAAGCATGGTGGTGGGCAGCATCATGCTTTGGGCTGTTTTTCTTCAGCTGGAATTGGGGCCTTAGTCAAGGAAGGGAATTATGAACAGTTCCAAATACCAGTCAATATTGGCACAAAACCTTCAGGCTAGAAAGCTGAACATGAAGAGGAACTTCATCTTTCAGCATGACAACGATCCAAAGCATACATCCAAATCAACAAAGGGGTGGCTTCACCAGAAGATGATTAATGTTTTGGAATGGCCCAGCCAGAGCCCAGACCTGAATCCGAACGGAAATCTGTGGGGTGATCTGAAGAGGGCTGTGCACAGGAGAGGCCCTCGCAATCTGACAGATTTGGAGTGTTTTTGCAAGGAAGAGTAGGCAAATATTGCCAAGTCAAGATGTGCCATGCTGATAGACTCATACCCAAAAAGACTGAGTGCTGGAATCACATCAAAAGGGGCTTCAACAAAGTATTAGTTTAAGGGTGTGAACACTTATGCAACCATATTATTTTAGTTTTTTAGTTTTACTTCCCTCCACCTAAAAGATTTCAGTTTGTTGTTCAATTGAGTTGTATAGTTTATAGGTCACATTAAAGGTGGAATAAGTTCTGAAATGATTTATCTTTGTTTCATATTGTTACATCACAGAAACCTAACATTTTAACAGGGGAGTGTTAAACAGTTATATCCACTGAAGCTATATAGCCCATGAAATAGGTTAAAATGAAGTCTAATGTAAAGCTAAAATGTTTTTTTATTTTTTCAATGAAGAGGTAAGGGGTTAGAACCCCTATCACGTTTTTATTGCTGTGTCTCCAGTGGGGAAATTCACAGCCCCATTTGTCCTGGTGACCTTTTTTACCAGGACAGAAAATGAAGGGAAAATCCAAAATTTGGAGATTAGGATGGAAATCTTCCACTGTGAATACCTGTTCCAATAAACACTGTCGAAAAGGGATTCCCTCAATTCTTGTTGTGTCTACAGGACATGAAGGGGATGATTTACTGGAGAACAGGGGCAGACTGACCATTCGGGCACTAGGGCACTGCCCGAGGGCCCAGGGTCTGTAGGGGGCCCCATGAGATGCCCCTGGTACCTTTTCATAGGCTTTTTTGGGTGTGGTTTGAGTGTGGGTGAGGACACAGGGGCCCCATGATTCCCTATTGCCCAGGGCCCCATGAGTTGTCAGTCCGCCCCTGCTGGAGAACTCAGAATTTGGTACAGATGTGCATGGTGGCCAATCAGCATCTAACTTCAGCTTGTTCAATTAGGCTTTGGCAATAAAACCTGGAAGCTGATTGGTTTCTATGCAGAGCTACACCAAATTTTGCATTCTCCAGCTTTAGTGAATAACCCCCCTAACTGGAGGGACATCTCACCAATGAGACGCAGATGCCATAAAAAAACCTTAGTGTTTTAACCATGCCTAATTCTCCATAAAAAATAAAAGTGTTGGCTTTAGATATACTTTAAATATGCATGTCCATAATATGACAAACACAAAGTTAACTAAAAAAAAACAAAGCACCTAAAGTAATACATTGGCTTCTCATTTAAGATACTCCAATGTTTCATGATTGCATTGAGTCTCATTTATGTATATATTAATGATAATTCCTTAAATTGTGAGTGCTATGCATTTTTCCAGCTGCTATCTATAAACCTCTTAGGTCCTGACTAATTACATTTTTCCACTTCCTGACTTCACCCTCCTCGCTTAGGATCTAATAGAAGTAGAGGTGAGCGGGCGCTTTAATATCTCTTGCAGATAGTGAGGTGAAATATTTCCCTGGGCGAAAGTCCCAATAAAAAGTGTAATTAAGTATTTAATATCTGTCTTCAGATTACTGTAGCATGATGTCTCTATCTACAACTCATTTTACATCCATCAGATATGTGAATTTTTTAAATATACAGACAAATGAAGACAAAAGGACTAAAAATATGCATTCATTAATCAAGAACAGCCTTGAAACATGTACAACATGCATTTGAGTATCATTAAATGATCGGCTGAAGTTGAAAGAGGTTTCCTTTCTTATTTTCCATATTTCTCACCAGAGTTGCAGCTGTTGTCGGAAAAAAATAATTGAAAGTGACTGGTTTAAAAGTCCAGATCAGCATGAAATCAAAAGACTGCTCTATAAAGAAACCCTAAGGCTTAGTGTAATTTGTGGATGGGGGGGGGGGGGGGGGTAGGTGGTTGAGTTACGTTTTTACTGTTCCCCTCCCCATCCCCAAACACACTGCCTTAAGATGCATAGGCAGCCAGATGGGGTTGTACACATGTGTCACAAGTCAAGTGTGAGTCAAATGTAAGGTTCATGGTTGCAGCATGTTATTCCTATTCAGAAATTCCATTTGGCTATGAAAAAAAACAGGCCTTCAGGAGACCGCAGTTCCCCTCTTTCCCTCCAGTACCAGCAGTCCAAAAAAGGAGCTCTGACACTGGAGGGAAAGAGGGGAATAGCAGGTAAGATACTGACAAGACATGGTCAAACACTTCTGGATACCTGACCATCAAACTGTTCTATGCCACCAAAAGTTCTACAGTATGTGGACACCACTCAAAATAATTGAGTTTCCAGTGAAGGGTTCTGTGAATGCTACATAGTTGAGTACTGTCCTTGATACAGTACTTTTTTTTTTTATTTGCACCAGTTGAATATTCAGGACAAGCGTTTTGGGTGGACCTTAGAAGAAGGGGGTTACCCCAAAAGCTTGCATTAAAAATTTAACTGTTAGGGCAAATAAAGAAGTATCAAGGACAGTACCCAGCTGTTTTGCTACAGCTTACAAAGACATTTTAGACCATTGTGAACGTGCAACCTTGTGGCAGCAGTTTGGGAAAGGTCCTTCTCAGTTCTAGCTTGACCATAACATGTACGCAAAGCCATGTCCTTAAAAAAATGGTTTGTAGTTTTTGAGGTGGAGGAACTTGGAGGGCCTAACCTCAAGATTATACACCTTTAGAATAAACTGGAACCCCAATTGTGAGACAGGCCTACTTATCCAATATCGATATTTGACCTTACAATTGTTCCGCCATCTGAATGAGCACAATTTCTTATTGAAAGCTTTCTCAATTGAGATTGCTGTAGGCCAACTCCATATTAACACTCATAGTTTTGGATTGGATATCCAACAAATAGATGTGATGCTCAGGTGTCCAGTTTTAGCCAAATAGTGTATGTTCTGCAATACACTCAGTATTTCAGGTTTTATTGATATTGCTGTATTTGTGCCACAGTAAGCTTACAATGCAAGTTTTAAAACCCCTGATCCTACAGTAGGAGATCGGGGGTCCCCAGCACATTCTGATAACCAGTGTTGCTACACATTAAAAGCCAGTAAATTATTTACCTCACCCGGGGGTCCACTTGTAAGTTAAGTACTAGGTTTGAGCTTATTTGGATTTTAATAGTGGTGTCATAGGGCCCTCACACCAGGGGTACTGGGCCTGGATATAATGTCTGTAATCAGCATCAGCAGGGCACAAGAAGGCTAATTATTTTTGTCTATGGGGGTGAACATGGAATAAATTGTCATTCAGTATAATATACAGTCTCTATGAGAGTTAGTTGGTTTCTAGTCTCAGGCAGG